CATCCTTTTAGTGGATACAATAACTTCTCAGAGATGGAACAGACAAGTGGTCATGTGTTTAAATCTAGGCCTCTGCAACAGGCCAGCTAAAATGCCATCAGCATTTACTATTTACTCAGATGTGCATCACTTCAAACCTCACATTGCTGTTCCTCTCTTCTGGGATCAGTGTACCTCAAAAGTAAGGGAGCTCTCCTTGGTGGGCTCATCTTTTCCTACAGAAGCATTCTAACAGCTGCAACTTCCTGTCTCCTACGTTCAATGTTCTCCTCTAGGATTTTCTCTTCCATGAAAAGCTTCCTCACCTTTCTTATCTTCTATCTTTGATGTGTGTACTCATGCATGCATATGTACTTGTGTATTGTCAGACATAATTTTGGTAGATTTGAAGTTTGGAGGGAGAAGACATAGTATTTACCTAACCTGTCTATTTAAATTAAAAACCTGTCCTCCAACCTCCACATAGTCTAGGGATTGGGAATGCTATAATACTTATCACACACCTTGAATTGCTATAAATGTCTCTTATATTAAGCCCAAGTTTACCTTCCTCTATTCATTGGTCTTAATTCTGCCCTTTAAATCCACATTTCAGAAGGAAATAATATTTTTGTTTTCAAGCCAGGGATATTCAATTACTTTAAAAATTCCTTCACTATTTCAGTTGTTGCCTATTTCTTAAGCTGGTCTTTATAGGAGAGTTTGCTCAATACACCTTTCAAAGTGGGTCTCCAGAACTGAATAGGGTAGGCAATCTGAATATTTCAGTGTCCACTAGGACTATGGTTTTCCTTGTCTGGATAGCTGATCATTTAAAGCACAACCCAACAACCTCACATCATTCTGTAGGCACACAGAGCTCACAGTGCATTCCTTCCCAGTTTTGCTCTACCCAGCGGTTCTCTCCCTCCTCTACACTGTACTTGCATACTTGTTCTGGGGAACCTCAAATCAGTGTAAGCAGCCCTGTTAGATTTCATGTTCTGCTCAGGCAAGGACTAGACAAGATCAGGGACAAGCACTCATATCTCCAAGCAGTTACTCCCATCATCACCCTCTGGACTAAACATTTGGAGAGAAAAGGAACTCCACTCTAGGAATATAACTGCAACACTTTCACTGCTCTCTTGAACTGCTGAATGGAGTCATCAACTTGGAAAACCCATTGTCTTTGAGCCTCTGACTTCTTTAAACATTCTTCTTGGTTGACCGAATGTCATTTATCTATGGAATACCCCTCCCTTCACTTTTGAGAAGACAATACCCAAATTCAACTATTGCATAAACTCAATTACATTTTAGACAATATAATTAAGCTTCTTGTTTTATTGGAAAAAAATGCTGCATCTCTTTTAAGATCCTACAGTGCTAAAGTTAAACATTCTATATATTAAAAAAAAATTATGTGTGTTTGTGTATGCAGCCTTGTGTGAGTTTCCATAGGTCCTGGTTCACTTCCACAGCCCGCTCACCACTCCAGCCGAGAGAGTAAAAGACTAACAGGTCAGATGATGAGATCACTAATCAGAATACAGCCCATCCTTGACAGTTAAACTCACAGAACCAATCTACATTTGCAACAATAAAAATAGTGTCCCTTCCCTGTCACCTTCAACTAAATTCTAAACTCAAACTCAGAAAGTATATTATGTTCTCTTCTGTTTCAACAAGGCAGGTAAAATGGTAAAATGATCTCAAAACACAAAATGTGAGTTCCTATCCTAAGAAAAAGGCAGAGTGGTTTGTGTCAGAAAAAAATATTTCCCCTGTTCAGACTTGCATATTGCTCAAAATTGAGGCTTTGTCTTTTAAGGCATAAAATTCTTGAAAGGTCAAATTCAAGTTGGGTACTTGAAGACAAAAATGGAATAATTACCTGATTAACTCAATTAGCTAACCTACATAATTAAGATTCCTATTTTTCTCAGGTAGTTTTTAAAAAGTCATTCTCCACATCATATCTGAAACTTGCCCTTTTATTTTAGCTGAGAAATGTGTTATTTTGAAAAGAACTTTATGGATGTAATATCAAAGATTTTTCCATTCACTGGGCTGGGGAAGGGGAGAACTATTACCACTGCCTTTTAATTTCCCCCTCCCCCATAAGGGTTGTGCTTAAATAGCCTGTTAAACTATTTACTGCATGTGAGAAGGGCACTGGGTGAATGACTGTTTCCACATTACAACAAGGAGTCAATTGTAAACCTAAGAAGTTAAAAATTAAATCAATATTAAACAAATGAATCATGTTCAGAGTCAAAAGGATATTCCACTTTCATAGTTACAACTGGGTTGATCTGATCCTTGGCTTTTGGAAAAAATGAAGTCAACTTGAGGGCCATCGATTTCATCAGTTATTAAAATTTTTAGTATAAACCTTAATTTTGGCTGACCAAGCAAAACTTAATACAAGTTCACTTGGACAGTTCATTTTCCTTCCTTTGTACAGTGGAAAATAATTTTAAAACTTGGGCATAAACATTGTTCTTATTATTAAAAGAAGTAGGAAAAAAAAGAAAATCTAGTAAACGCCTTCAGTAAAAAGGATTGTGCTGATGTATACACCATTAACTGTTCCTTGGTATCATGGTTATTTATGAAAAAGTCTTTACTGACTGCATAATTACACCATTTCATTATTAGTTGCTGCCAATATGAGTGAACATTATAAACAAAAAAGTAAATTCATTTTGGTGTATAACTAATAATAAGAGACACCACTCTTTATTAAAAACACTTGTGTCGTCTCTAAACCATCTTAAATGCCAAATTTAGAAAGGCAGGCAAACTAAAAGCATCATTTATTATCCTAGATCAGAGGTGCACTGATTTTCAGCTTTGTATTTATTTTTTTTTTTTTAAATATAAAATGAAAGACTTCCAACCTGCAGGGATAAACACAATAATTTACGACAATTATGCAAAGGACATAAAATAGGAAAGACCAAGGAATAGATGGAAGAAAGGCCATCTTACCCTCTCAAGCAGTCAAGGAGATGAAGTTGTCTAGGAAGTGTTGTTAGCATATTATTTGTTCTATTTATTAAACTGGCCCAAACTTCCATGGCTCAGAGACTCTTAAAATGCCACTATAAAATAAATACATGTACACACACACACTCACAGATACATATGTGAATGTCCACCTGTTACATGGCATTTTTCTTTGCCCACTTCTACTTACCTGAACTGTACCACCAGAGATTTTCTAAAGCAGAAGATAGTAGCATATCAGGGTGAAATAAATGAAACGAAGTGTGGGATCCTTTTTAACCTCCTCTCCCAGAATGTAACACCAAAGATTTAATTTTGCAGAGATGCCACTGTGGGCATGGTATCAGATATTTGGGTTTTAAGGCCCCTCTCCTTGGCCTGCTACTCTAATATATGGTGATAAATGTCTCCTTAATTTGCACAACAGCTTTCAATCTTCTTCAGAGCAGACCACCTTGAAGGAGCGAGTAAAAGGTTTAGTCATGGTTTCTATTTTGCTATTTGAATTCAATACATTCTAGTTAAATGGACAATTAATAGGTCACTTCCAAAATAGTAGTGTATCAGTCCTGGTTAATAAACAATCCCCACAGTTGATAATGGGCCCTATGTATTCAGCAAGTCCCTGTATACACTCAGCTCATCCACTAAATCCTTTTTCAGGTGGACAGGGTTATATGGGAAGATGAGCTAGAATGAGTCTATAAAAGTCAGTTTCATTCACTGCTTTATTTTTCAGTCAAGTGCTTTAAATGGTGTCCAGAAATTCACTTGGAATGTGAGACAGGAGAAAAGACTGACACACAGAGCCTTGCTTTATGACCATACAAAAGGGCAACTGACCCTTGCCCAAGCCTTTTCCATGTGAAATGGCTCCTAAAGTTCATCTGCAGAGTGAAAAATCGTGGTGAGGTCGCGTGTGGATGAGTCAAGTGAAAGTGATGATTGGTCACGGGTCTGTCACCCATTGTGCTGGGTCCCAGCCATGTAAAGTGCTCTGTGGGAAAGTATCAGCCCCCTAAAGAGATGCTCAGAAGCTTGAAGCTCATTAAACGGCCAGCATTTGCTGCCTCACTTGTCAGGAATCATTCTGTTGAGCAACTGCTCTCCTGAAACATTCATAAAACACATGCACTGTGGCAGCAGGGAGCTGAATTCAACTGTGATAGAGCTCTGCACTTTAGTCTGACTCAACTCTTATTTCGCTTTCACCTGACAGAACTGTTAACTGAATAAATGTTTTCTCCTAGGCAACTGAGATAAATGCATCTCTCCACTGGACTTCTTTATCATCAACACAAATTCTCTACCTACAGATTCTTACCTTATCAAGACGTCTCAAGACCCAGGTGAACTTTACTTGCAGCTAGACATTTGTCTTTGCAAGTGACAGTGTGTGTGTGTGCATGCGCTGTGAGTTTTGGAAAGTTCATCCTTCTCTTTCCAGGCCCCCTACCCGTGCTATTAAATTTTGGCTTGTATGATTTTTAATGCCCGCCTGAAAGCATGTCCTATAGCTCTGGCTGGGTTTCTTCATGATGATAAAGAAGAGGTATTTATCATCTCTCACAATCTTGGCAATTTTTAATGTTTTTCTACAGACACCTTATGACTTCGTGTCACATTTTAAACTGGATGGAATTTTACACAGCGGTTTCTTTGCCTGCCTTCCTTTCTTTTTTCTTCTTTAAAGGAGTGTTGTTACACATTTCAGAAAGAGCCAAACTGGTCCCTCAGAGATCTTTTTATATCAAATGGAAAACAAGTTGCTTTCCTTGGTATGTCAGCCCTAGGTTTCAAAGCCATTAGAAACTGCTCACAATTGCTCACTGTGCTGAGGTTTGATAAATCTCTGGAAGCCTTCTGAATAGGATCGCTGTGATTTTTAGTGAGGAATTAGCTCCTTGCCATTGCATTACCAATTAGCTTCCCTGAGCACATTAAATCCTGCTGCTCTGGTTTAACAGAATAACTGAGGCATTGCTGATGAATCATTAAAAACTTACTTGGAAAAGCGGAGGGGGATGCAGGGCGCCGACAGGACCCACCACAGCACGCAGAGTAGAATGCTGGAGCACTCAGAAGAAAAGGTTTGGGAGGCCCTGCAGAGAAAGCATTGGTCTCACTGATCAGCCATTCTTTTAGACAATATTCAAAATTCCACTTTTCTAAAAGTCAGTGAGTAAAAGCCCTTAATTTTCTTAGTTATTCCATTATAACTCATACTGAAATTAAAGTCACATTAAAGTACACTTCATCTGTCAAAGTGCTTGCTAAATAATTTCAGCAAGATTTGGAAGATGTAGTGGAGATATCAAAATTATAAGTTCTTGTCCTGTGAGGTCATAATTACAAGTAGTGAATATCTAATATTCCTTTATTTAAGATGTTTAGAGCAACACTGTCCAAGAAAAAACTGTCCGGGGTGACGCAAACATCAGTGTCCGTCCTGTCCTACATCTTAACTACTAGACAAATCTAGTAACTCCTGAAATGTAGCTAATGTGACAAAGCAACTGAAATTTTAACCCAAATTAATTTAAATTAAATAGACTCATGTGACTAGGGACTATGATATTAAATAACACAGCTCTAAAATATTCTACTTACCAAGGAACAATTTAAACGTCATGTGCTTACATTTAATTTTGAAAAACATTATATCACTTTACTGCTTGTTTTTAGAAAAAAGTTTTTTTGAAATATATACTGAACTGAATTCCCAAGTTTGTGATAATTCATTTACTGAACAATTCCTCAATAAAAAGTAGTGTTTCTGATCATATGTACACGTTTTTAAGTATTTGAGAATAATCCTATTTTATCTCCAGAGAAATTCAGTTAAACTGAAAGTCTTTATAGTGTTTGTAGTGTAGTGATTTGCCAAAAAATTCTGTTCTCACTTTATTAAACCGTTACTCATAAAATTTTCAAGAGATATGCATGAAAGAGTTATGATTAGTCTTGTAGCAAATGTATGTAAAGGAGACCCATTTTTGTGTTCAAAAAATTCTACAAATTTTTTGAAGTTTCATTATCATTATAGACCATTCTAAAATTTTGAGTATAAATACCATCATAGAAATTATATATCACTTCAATTGAATTTAACATTTTAAGTGAAATTTTTAACTCTATTCCCCAGTCAATGAAAAATAGTTATAAGGGTGTTATAGAATTTAAACAACAATTCTCCTTTATTGAGAACTTCCCATATGCCAGGCTTTGGTTAAGTAGCTTAAATATACTGTCCTTAATACAGTGGGTTTAATACAATATAAATGTGGTTAAGATTTCCTGAAGGCGGGCACTTGCTTTTATCATAGCATACCAGGCAGAGTGCCTAGCACATCATAAATCATCAATATTTTGTAACTAAATGAATGTTCTTCAAGACTAAGACATTTCCCTCATGTTCTTGGGGAAGAATCAAGGATCAAACTTTAAGCCCTTGCTTGCTCCCTGACACACCTTCCTTCATGGTATCTTTCATAATTGATAACCTTGGAACTTAAAACATGACTTGAAAATAAATAGTTTTGCTATTCTCCTGTCATATTCAAGTGACAAATTCTTTCGTTTTCTTAATTACACAAGGGAATATTGTCTTGACATGACTACATACCTTTCTGAAGAACCCAGTACTTTCAGATTCACATTTTAATCAATTGATAAATGCATGCTTATTTTCATCAATTATTTAAAGCAGATGTCAACACAAGCATATTTCCCAGTTAAAAATAATTATAGTATTCTAGGGTCCTGAAAACCCTAAAATTACAAATTAGTCATAAATGCAGATTTCTTCCTTTAATACAATGGAGAGTTTCGATATTAATGTTCTCAGACTTTTTAAGTATCTGGATTTCCAGAGAATAGTGTTTAACACTGTTTGGAAAATATGGCAACTAAGGCAAAGGTATGAAAAGGAGAATATTTTGGTGTTCAAGAAGTTCAAAAACTTTTTTTAGTTTTATTTTTATCATAAATTGTTCTAATATCAATTATAAAACCATCAGAGTAATTAAAAATCATTTAAATGTTATCTCTTGAATTATATTACAAGAACATGACATTATTTAGGCAGATTTATATTTCCATAATTACTATGGACATATGAAGTACTTTGAAAAATTGAATTATGTTTCCAAATATAAAAATTGCCTCATTGTATTTATTATCAAGCATTTATGTTAGCTCCTTCTTTCTTTCTTTCTTTTTTTTCTTTTTAGGTAGAAGGAAACAATTCAGTAATGTTGCATTTACATACATAAAATTAAACATTTATTATGCTAGGTGGAAATGCCAAAGAAAATCTATTTGCTTATTATTTGCTGTTCAATATAGAACACAGGAAATAAGATCGTATCCAAGTAAAACCACTGAAATAATAATGCAAGGTATATATAAATTAGATAATTTCTATTCTAGCCAAAATGTTTCTCAGTCTACCATCCCATTTCCCCTAAAAATGGGAAAATAAAAGATTAAAGAAAACCGATTATTTCCTTAAGTAATCAATTAAATACATTTGTGATAAATGTGGTTTGAAGATGTCTGATTTTATTATTAAATTTTTCCAGAAAGAGTTTTAATGGAACAGCCCATTACCCTCCATGAAAGTTGTAATTAAAATGACAGTTTCAAAATCTGTAATTACAAAAAATGTCAAAGTCTACAGTAACAATTCCAGTTTGGCTAAAGAACTGGCTTTCACACTTTGTGACAAGACCAGGCTTGAAGTTCTATTGTATAGAAGTTCTTCACCATTTTAAATCATCTCTTTGACACATATATTTACACAGGAGATTAGTCAATTCCTGATTGCTATACATAAATACACCTTGTTTAAGCTGGTTTATGTGGAAATCACTGTGAAATTCCAATTAAGTGCTCCTTTTTTTTTCCACATGCTCCTACTCTGACATAAGTCAAATGCTAATCTATCTGAGCATGTGATTGCCTTGATGCTCAATGGCAACAGGAAATAATTATTTAAAATAATGCAATGCATTTAAAATATATTTTGAACTTTTAACATTTGTAAGCCACATACTTTTTAAAAATGAGGTAAAGAGAAAACTCAACCTTCATGAAAATAAAGTGACAAGTGAACAGATGTGTGAAAACTTTTGTAAGCCTTAAGATCTACTTCGAAGACACTCTGAAAAATGCAGGGGGGGAGAAAAGCCGTTTAATACTGGATGATAACCATTCAAACCCCATCAATGCAGTTTAGATGCAATTACTTCATCATTCAACTGTGTTAAGAATGACTCATGGTAGACTTACTGAACAAGAGTCATAATGATAATATTTAAGGAGTGTTTACTATAGTCAGGCACTGGACTGGCTACGAATTTAACACAAGCCATTTCATTCCTTCATTCATTAACATTAAACCTCAAATGGGCCTCCGTCCAGAATGTGATTATGATCGCTTTCACCAAAGTAAAAAAGTAGGCAAGAGAAACAATAAGGATTTTTGTAATTAGTTATTAGCCATGAGGGGTAGGGATTTCATTTACAGACTCTGCCAGTTATTCCAAGCTGGACTCCGGAAAAATAGACACATCTCCTAAGATCCCCAAGAGAGAAAAAGAATGTCCTTTCCTATGAAAAGAGCACCCATGGGACAGGTTCTACAGCATGATCTCAGGTCCTATTGGTACAGCATTTCAAGATACTCCAAATTTCATATTCCACCAACAAATCAAACTTCCATTTTCTATGGGAAGTTGTTACAACTCACAAACAAAACGATTTAAGTTTTTGAGGACTAAACCAGAATCTTTCTGCAACCAAATGACTAAATTCATGCATTTCCAGAAAACTTTATAAACTTTCCACACTTCATCAAAGGTTCTAATTTATTTGAAGACACAGATTCAAAGTGTCTTTAAATTATTTTGAATATCAATTTTAGATGGGAACTTAGAGCCAACTTAAATGTGAACTGGCCTTACTTTTTCAAAACTAAATAGATCTAAAAAGATCGCTATATGATGTAAATATCCCAAGCAAAGGATAGCTACAAGCCTAACTATAAAGAAATTATTTTCAACATTCTGTTGTCTAGAAAACAATTATTTTAGTTGACTTTTGTTATTTTCATTCTTCTTCATTGATGGAGAAGAACCATGGAAATCAATTGGTGTGAAACCAATTCTTTTTATTATCACTGCAAACTGTGGTACTAACTGACTTGAGGTGACATTTCAAAGACAAAGTACCAAAGATCACCAATAAAACTTTTAAATAAATTGCAGCGTTCCATTGTAATGCTACGCAGACTGAAGCACATTTCAAGGAAGATGAGGAGAAATGAGACAAGGTTCCAATATATCCTACTACTGCAGAAGGTCAAAAAAAATAAAAATAAAAACCTCTGGGAAAGAACAACAGGGAATTAAATAATTTTGAAAGGTTAGTTTTAATGATCTCCTTCAAGTACCAGGTATACAGACTCTGGGAATAAAGAAACCTAAATTTCTGATTTGAAAATAATATACAACTGAACAGATAATCTAGAGAAAAAAAAAAACTCTTAAAGAATAGTGAAACATTTTCCTTGAGTAGTTAGACCTAAGAAATATCAGTTACTTAATGAGATTTGATTTATTTATCATGCAGTCAACCTAAAAGCAATTCATTCAGTGATTCAATTGCAATCCTTGCCCTCAATCAGCAGGGAAAAAATGTTAGATAAATTCATCCTTTCCCCTCTGTTCATTGAGAAACAATAGAAGTCAGTATTTTTTGTCCCAAGAGTATTTTTCAGACAGAAAAACATAGGTCTTAATGTTTTTGAAAATTTTTTATATTTATTTTTTAGTTGTAATTGGACACAATATCTTTATTTCACATATTTATTTTTATGTGGTGCTGAGGCTCAAACCCAGAGTCTCGCATGTGGGAGGTGAGTGCTCTACTGCTGAGCATAACCCCAGCCCTTGTCTTAATGTTTTAATACAGCTCTTTAAGAAGCCAAATCAAGTGTAGTTTGATTCTATCCTTTTAATTCACGGTAAATAATACGGATCACCTATCATCTATCAAATGCCAGGTGCTGCACTGTGTGCTGGGACAAGTTTCCCTTCTT